CACCTAGGGTGGCAGGTTCAAACCCAGCCCGGGCCTGCTAAGCAGCAATGACAACTGCAACCAAAAAAAATAGCCAGGCTTTGTGGCGGGCACCTATAGTCCCAGCTACTTGGGAGACTGAGGCAAGAGAATCACTTGACCCTGAGAGTTTGAAGTTGCTGTGAGCTATGATGCCACAGCACTCTACCCAGGGTGACAGCTTGAAATTCTGTCTCAAAAAAAAAAAAAAATAGTACAGAGCACTAAAGGCCACTAATACAAACAGATCTGGGTTCACATCCACATTCTACCATTTACTCAGTATGTAATCTCAAAAACTATCATTTAGCTTCTCATGTTTTCAATTTCTCATGCAAATAATGAAGAGAACAGGACATGCTTGACAATGTTGTGATCGTAACAATGCATATAAAACAACAGCTCACTGAGTACTGGTACCTTTCAGTTCAAGTCATTACTAATAAAGGAAATAGTGGGAAATAAATCCAGGTGTTGTTCTGTTCCCAGTATCAGAAAAAGTAGACACCTCCTTGCTTTAGATGACTAGCACTAAGAGAGATCTGGGTAGGGCAAGACCCATGTAGCTGAATGGAGCCCAGATGTACTACAAATACTGCCACCAGCAGCTCCCTGCTTGGGCCCAGCCCCTCTGGTATGGCTATACAAGCCATCTGTTAGATCACAGTGACTCAAGCCAACATGATCACTGTATTAAACTTTATCCCGTAGGCAGAAAGAATTCATCAGAGTCAATCCTAGCAGGGTTTTCCTCATTGTAATTGGTAATTCAGGATAAATGGCAGATTGAAAGAGCCCCAAGGATAGCAGCAAGTTGATAAACCACTTGGATTGACTCCTAGATTCCATTCATAGTTGACTTTTTGCCTGATGAGCTGATAGGCCCTGGGAAGATCCACTGGCATGTTCAGTTCTTTTACGAAAACAGGCCCAATTCTACCCTTGAAGGCAACTCACAGAACAGGAAGAAGAGAATGTATTTACATAGCGACTTCTAGCAGGGCAGGAAATGGAATCTGGTGAGCACGTGAGAATCTTACGTCAACACCACAGTCACCAGCTTTCCTCTACTGAAAAAAGAGACACCACTTCAAAGAGAGCATCTTGAGTATTTCTTTTTAATGGGCATTTATAAAATTCTATGGCACATAGGAAGGAATAGAATTGAGTAGAATTCCCTACTTTCCCAAATGTCCAAGGAGTGAAAAGTCCATGGAAAGACAAAACCCGCTCCTGTGGGATGTCCCAGCTCCAAGGGACTTCAAATACTGAATACCCTTAACTCACAGGCTTGGCACTGCATTGGAGTTCCTCCTTTGCTCAACCTCAGGATGGGTATAGAATTGGACAGTATGTCCCAAGGTCTCTCATGTCTGCATCCTCAAGGGCATATAATCCAGAGTTCCCATGGTTATAGCAATTGAAGTCCTGCTTGAATTGATAGCAGCCAATACATACTTTCTCTAGACTTGATTTTTCTTTTCAATCACTGGCAAGAAACTTCCTGCCAACTTTTTCTGATATATACTTCTTCCATTTCATTCTTTGAAAGACTGATCTGAAAGCCTCTTTGGAGTCCTACCCAAACCCAAGCCATGTAACAAACAAAGTACCTACGGACTACTAGGAAGAAATACATTATTCAGTTGAATCATAACTGCCAAAATTCAGACCGTTTTTAGCTACAAAATCAACAATTTTACATGGGTCACTAGCTTCTATCAAGTAGTTATCTGAAAGGTTTAGAACTGCTAACAATATGATCTTAGAACCAATGCTTCAGCTAGGAGGTGACCTGGAGGCATCGAGCCCATGGGCTTCTAATACTATGAGATTATAAAGAAAAACCAGGTTCTGGGCCTTCAAAGTCATCTCAATAGACTTCAAAAGATTGAAATTTTACATGCTATATAAAATTAGTCTCTAACAGCAATGGACTAAATTGGAAATCACTAACAACATGATTTTTTTTAAGTTCCCAATAACTTAGTTTTTTTTTTATTATTAAATCACAGCTGTGTACATTAATGCAATCACGGGGTACAATGTGCTGGTTTTATACACCATTTGAAACATTTTCATCAAACTGATTAACATAACCTTCACCGCATTTTCTTCGCCAATAACTTGCTTCTAATGAATCCATGGATCAAAAAATAAACCACAAAGGAAAAAGAAATCTGAATGAAAATGAA